GAGGGAGACAGAGAATCTGAAGCAGGCTCCAGGCTCTGAGCTGACAGCAGAGAGCCCGATGCAGGGCTCGAACTCATGAACCGTGAGATCACGGCCTGAGCTGAAGTCGGACGCTCAACCGACTGAGCCACCCAGGTGCTCTGATCAGCTTCTCTTTGATCTCACTCTCCTCCAAGTTCAGAACTATCTGGGCTCTCCTGGGAGAAGCTGAGAAGCACCTTTCTTCCCTAAGCCACCCCACAAAACGTTAATAACAGCTACAGACATTTGACATCCTCAGAAGGTATCAGTCATTAAGGGAACCAGTTGGTGGCTAACGGAGGGGCAGCAAACTGACTCCAGGTTTGAAGCAATCATTCGAGACGCAGCTAAGGCACTAGTCCTTGCCCTGACCTCTGCCTCGTCCCCAGAGAACTGTTTCAACCTTGGCCCCAGCCTTTGCGACTTCTGCTCTTACTGGACGAAACATTCTATCATCCATCCCTTTGACAACAGGGATCCAGGCAGGGTAGGCACAGGGCCTTGTGGGATTGCTGGGGTACCATGTTGCCCAGTGTCCTGTCCCCATGGAACTCACAGCAAGAGCCAAGATGATTATAAGAACGGAGAGAGGCGTGGAAGAGGACCATCCATCATGCTCTGGAAGGGGCAAGGAGGTCAGGGAGACTTCCTGTTTTTTTACTAAGAAACACTGTTGCCGTTTTTGAGCTACCTCTGGCCTCAGTGAGTTTTGCTGCCAATAACCAGTACCTGTCTGGGTTTTGTGTGTGTGTATTTTTGAGAGAGAGAGTGCGAGTGAGCAGGGGAAGGGTAGAGAGAGAATAGGAGAGAGAGAACCGCAAGCAAGCTCGGCACTGTCAGCGCAGAGACCGATGCAAAGCTCGAACTCCCGAACCGTGAGATCACGACCTGAGCCAAAATCAACAGTCGGACGTTTAACCGACTGAGCCATCCCGGTCCCCGACACCTGTCTGTTTTCTAGAGGGCCTGCCCTCGGGCTCCTGGAGCAGCTTTCTTGAGGAATCTGGAAATGGCGGGAAATGGAAAGTGCAGGGAGGACCTGGGGGCGGGGCCCTGGCTGCAGGTGCTACGCTTACATCAAGCACTTTACTGTCCTGTGGGGAAGACAAACCATCAGAAAACAGCCTGATAGGTGTAACCGACAGGGGCATGCGTTGAACACAACGAAGGAGGTAGCCTTATGAGTAAGCTGAGTCTTCAAAGGCAGCAAAGTGTTGGCCTAGAAGAAGGGGCCGGGAAAGAGCAAGTGTGGGAGTCGTTTGGTAGTAAGTATACTCTGTACGTTAGCTAACTTGTCGATAAATTATGTAAAAAAATTTTTAAAAAATACAGAAAAGACAAGTGGTGCTTGACCACACAGAGCCTGAATGAGGCTTGCCACTTACTACCAAACGACTCCTACACTTGCCACCAGTTGATTGCTAGGATTTTAAGCACCACTGGGTCATGAATCTGATATACACTCTAGAGAAATCACTGTGGCTGCAGAGAAGACAATGGATTTGAGAGGACCAGACTGCAGGCAGGCTTGGGGAGCCCTGGCGACAAATTACAAAGGCTGAACACAGAGAAGTAGCCATGGGGAGAGAGAAAGCAACAGAATCAAGAAATGACAAGTGCACAAGCCTAGTGGCTAACAGGATAAGGAGCTCCTGATTTGTTTTCCTTAATGTTTATTTTTTGTTGAGAGAAAGAGACAGCATGAGCGGCGGAGGGCAGAGAGAGAAGGGACACACAGAATCAGAAGCAGGCTCCAGGCTCTGAGCTGTCAGCACAGAGCCCGACGTGGGGCTCAAACCCCCAAACCGTGAGATCATGACATGAACCAAAGTTGGACGCTTAACCGACTGAGCCACCCAGGTGTCCCAAGGCGCTCTAGGCAGGCATCTCTACTGGTCACTCTCAACCAGACTTTTAATCATACCTCTCAACTTTCCACCGTAGTTGGAAGGACTGTTTATCTGGAGCCAGGATGCGGCAGGGAGATCTTTGTAATTTCTACTATAGGGAGCTCACGACCATAAACTCTGGAGCGGGCAGTGGAGATCCAAGTGGCAAGCCTGCGTTAGTACCTGAGAGCATTCCATGCCCAACGTCAAAAGGCCCAAAGTCTTGATTAGAATCATATTTCAATGAGAAGATTCACCACAACGTATTTTCCTAGGCGCTCAAAACGGTAGATTTCCAGGAGGTTAAAGGCAGTCTTTCCACGATTGCCCTGTACCGTTAAAAAGTATTTAATGTTATTGGGGTGAAATTGACATATTCGTTTCAGGGGTACATCGTGATTCTGTAGTTTAACCTCAAACATTTGGACCCTCACGCCTTGCCTGAAGCACACCGTTGTGGTTGCTGTATCTGGCTGCCGGGCAAGTTGACAAATGTAATTTTCATCTCAGGTGGCCAGGTATCTAGCTGAAACGTGAGCCATCGAACGAGGACAGAGAGGAGAAGGGACACCGTGAAGCAGCTGGAAGTCTCTGCCGTTGGAGTTAGCTATCACCGCGTAACAAACCATCCCCGAGCCCAGGAGCCTAAAACAACCATCCGTTTATTTCTCACAACTCTATGGGGCAGGAATTTGGGGCAAGGGGAGGTGGGTGTCATGAATCACCCTGCTCCCCACGGTGTTGGCTGAGGCTAGAGAACCCAAGTGCCCACACAACTGAAGTTGTGGGGTGGCTCAAGTATGGGGGCCAGTAGGATGTTTGGACCTCTGTCTCCTCATGGTTCTCCTCATTGGTTCCCCTCCACGTGGTCTCTCTCTCTTCCGCAAGACAGCCTGGGCTTCCTCACACGGTGCCTGAAATCCCCCTAAGCAAACACGGAAGACACAAAGCTTCTGGAGCCCTAGGCTTAGACCCCTCCCCCCACGCCCACGTCACTGCAGTCACATTCTACTTATCCAAAGTGTCAAGGCGAGCTCAGACTTACAGCCAAGAGAAATAATTCTACCTCCTGAGGGCAGGACCGCTGCAAAGTCACTTTGCAAAGGGGTGTGAACACGGGGCGACACGAGTCCCTGGGAATCATCTCTGAGAAGCTAGGACACCTGCCAGGGCGGGAGGCGGAGGGGGCGCCCGGCACACCCCCACGCCTTGCGCACGGCCCCGCCGTGCGCGGGTCACAACGCAGTGGCACGTCGAAGAGGTTGTGACCTCAGCGCCTCGCATCCCTGGTGTCGCCGTGGCCATCTCGCTGGCGCCCAAGGGCCGTGGCTGCGTGGGAGTGGCCGCACGGGGGCGTCGCAGCCAGGGGAGCCGCCGCTATGTCTACCGTGCCGCTGCGGGTGGCAGTGGTGTGTGCCAGCAACCAGAACCGGAGCATGGAGGCCCACTACTTTCTCAGCAAACGGGGATTCAGCGTCCGGTCCTTTGGAACGGGAACTCACGTGAAGCTCCCGGGCCCCGCACCCGACCAGCCCAACATTTACGATTTCCGAACCACCTATGACCAGATGTACAACGATCTCGTCAGCAAGGACAGAGACCTCTACACGCAAAATGGCATGTTACATATGTTGGAGCGTAACAAAAGGATCAAGCCCCGGCCGGAGAGGTTCCAGAACTGCCAGGACGTGTTTGATCTGATTGTCACCTGCGAAGAGAGTGTGTACGACCAGGTGGTGGAAGATATGAATTCCAGAGAGCAAGTGACCTGCCAGCCGGTGCACGTGATCAACGTGGACATCGAGGACAACGACGAAGAGGCCACCGTGGGCGCGATCCTCATCTGCAAGCTGTGCCAGTGCATTCAGCACACCGAGGACATGGAGGACGAATTGGACGAGCTGTTGCAGGAGTTCGAGGAGAAGAGCGGCAGACCCTTCCTGCACACCGTGTGCTTCTACTGACCGGCGCCGCCGCACTCCTGCAGCCCTTCCTTTCCTCACTACCTTTCCCTTCCAGATGTATGAAATGAGAAGACACGCGCGGGCACCAGACGACAGACAATCAGGTTACTTCTCCTCTGCTTTTTACTTACGGGGAGCATTGACTCTCAGGTTGATTCTCTTCAACGAAAACTGCAAACAACGGTTTCTAGTACATTTCATCTCTACCTCTGTGGCTTTCTTGTTCTTTCCCCTCCCTCCCCCAAGCTTGCTGGAGGGGGGGGGGAAAAGAAGCTGCCACACCTGCCCCCCCCTCCCCCCGGGGCCAGTGTGCTGGGTAGCTGGAACAGCAGAACTTTGCTTTCTCACAATTCTGGAGCGAAGTCCAAAATCAACTGCTGGCTGGGGGTGGGGGTGGGGGGGGGGCGGGTTTATCCTGAGGCCTCTGTCCTTGGCTCGCAGGTGGCCACCCTCTCACTGTGTCCACACCCAGCCTTCCTCTCGTGGCACTTGGATCTATACTAAGAACTAATGTTTGATTTCCATCCCCATCTCTGGCACAGAGCTCCCCAAATTGTTGGAGCTTCCTAAGTCACGAGAGCCATACAGGAGTCCTTTTTTATGTCAAAGAGGTGACTTTTAAGCACAACTTAAGGAGGGGGGCTGGTTGCCAGGACACCCAGTGATGTAACTGGAGGCTTGGAACTTTCCATTCCCCTTCAGCCCCAACCTGTGGGAGGGGAGAGCGGCTGGAGGGTAAACCAGTTCTTTTCAAGTTTATTTATTTTGAAAGTGGTGGGAGGGGAAGGGGCAGAGAGAGAGGGAGACACAGAATCGGAAGCAGGCTCCAGGCTCTGAGCTGTCAGCACGGAGCCTGTCCCGGGGCTCGATGTCACAAACTGTGAGTTCATGACCTGAGCCAGAACCAAGAGTCGGGGGGTTTAACCGGCTGAGCAGGTTTCAAGAGCTTCCGGGTTGGTGAATGAGAACACATCACATGCCAGTGTTTTTGTCTTATCTTTTTAGATTTATTTATGTTGAGAAAGAGAGCACGAGCCGGGGAAGGGCAGAGAGAGGGGGAAAGAGGGTTACGGGCTGTCACTGCAGAGCCCCATGCAGGGCTCAGTCTCCAGAATCGTGAGATTATGACCCGAGCCGAGATCAGGAGTCAGATGCGTAACCGGCTGAGCCACCCAGGCGCCCCACATGCCACTGTTTGGGACCCCAAACTCCACAAGGACAGAAGCGCCTTTGTCTGGGATCTCACCTTATGTCTCCCTTCAAATGACTGTTGATTTGTATACTTTAACTGACAAACTAGTACGTAAAACATCTCTCTGTGCTCTGGGAGCGGCTCTAACAAATTAATTGAACCCAAAGAGGGAGTGATTGAAACCTCTAATCTATAGGCAGTAGACCAGAAGCACAAGTAACACCCCGGGCCTTGTTAGTGGCATCTGAAGATGGGGGAGGGGGCAGTTCTGTGGAGCCCTGAACCTGTGAGATCTGATACTGTCTCCAGGGACTGTCACAATTGAGTTGGATTGTAGGACACACAGCTGGTGTAACTGGTGACCTCAATCCTTACGTCTGCGTTCACACTTCCTTTGTGTCTCATCCTCTTCTAAGAACACCTCTGATTAGCTTAAGTCTCCCTCCTTTTGCCTCATTTAAAATGAATTACCCCTTGAAACGCCCTATCTCCAAATACAGTCACATTGGGGGCTAGGGTTTCCACATATGAATTTTGGGAGGGCACCGTTCAGTTGATAACAAGAGGCAATACATTAAGTTTGATCAATTACTTATATGACTTACCACTGCTTCTCAGCTAGTCTTATGGAGACTGAGAGTTCCCTCTTGAGTTCCAAGTAATGACCAGTACCTTGGTTTGGTTATATATGCACATTTCAGAGACTTGAAAGAAACCAGGAATTGAACATATTGATTCTTATACTTTGGGATTCTCTCTCTCCCTCTCTCTCTGCCCCTCTCTTGCTCATGCACATGTGTGCATATGTGCATGCATTTTCTTTCTCTCTCAAAATCAATAAGTATACTTAAAAAAAAAGAAAGAAAGAAAAACACTAATGTGCCTCTGATGGCTCATCAGGAGACGTGACACAGCTGAAGAAAGAGTCAGCAAATTTGAAGATAGGTCAGTGGAAATTACTCAAGCACTAAGAGAAAACAAGAGTGGGAAGAAAACCAGAACAGAACATCAAAGACATAATATCAGCCTAACATATGTGTTTATTTATATTTGAGGGAGAGAGAGACAGAGCATGAGTGGGGAGGGGCAGAGAGAGAGGGAGACACAGAATCTGAAGCAGGTTCCAGGCTCTGAGCTGTCGGCACAGAGCCCAACCTGGGGCTGGAACTCACGAGCCACGAGATCATAAAGTCTGACTGAGCCAAAGTCTGACTCCCAACTGACTGAGCCACCCAGGTGCCCCCAAGTCTAACATATATGTAATAGGACACCCAGGAGAAGAGAGAGAATAGGGCAGGAGAAATATTTGAAGAAATAATGGCTGAGAACTTTCCAAAATTAATGCCACAAACCAAACCACAGACCCAAGAAGTTTAGAAAATACTAAGCAAGATTAAAACGCAAACAAACAAACAAACAAACAAACAAACAAAAAACACTAGGCATAGCATATTTAAACTGCTGGAAACCTAAGTCAAAGAGAAAATTATAAAGGCAGCCGGAGAAAAAAGACACATGATGTGCCTTGCAACAAAGATAGAAATTATGGTTGACTTCTCATCAGAAGCCATGCAAGGCAAAAGACAAAATGCCATCTTTAAAGTGGTTTAAGACAAAAAAAAAAAAAAAAAAAAAAAA